CCACTCCGTGCCTCCAGCCCTCTCCGCTCCACTCCATGTCTCCCGCCTGTCCCGCTCCACTCCGTGTCTCCAGCCCGCTCCGCTCTAACCCTCAGCCACTCCAAGGTAATTTTTTTTTGAAAAAAACACTTTAAGATCTTAGAAGAAAAGAAAGAGAAAGAAAAAAACAGAAAAGGCAGACAGATGGATGAGCCCAGGGCTGAGGAGCCCAGATGCTACCTATTCTACCCAGACCCTTCAGTCCACCTTGTCTGTGTCAACCAGATATCCTAAATTAATCTAGTCCTATTTGGCCAATAACCTTATAAACCCTTCCTATTCATGTACCCATGCAGATGGCTTTTTAATGTTGTATTTGTACCAGCTTCCACCACTTCCTCTGGCAGCTCATTCCATACACTCACCACCCTCTGCGTGAAAAAGTTATCCCTTAGGTCCCCTCTCACCTTAAACCTATGCTCCCTAGCTTGGGACTCTCCTACCCTACCCTTGACCCTCATGTCTTATTCACCCTATCCATGCCCCTCATGATTTTATAAACTTCTATAAGGTCACCCTTCGGCCTTTGATGCTCCAGTGAAAATAGCCCCAGCCTATTCAGCCTCTCCCTATAGCTCAAACCCCCCAACCCTGGCAACATCCTTGTAAATCTTTTCTGAACCCTTTCAAGTTTCACACCATCTTTCGTATAGCAGGGACACCAGAATTGAAATCAATATTTCAAAAGTGGCTTAACCAATGTCCTGTACAGCTGCAACATGACCTCCCAACTCCTATACTCAATGCACTGACCATAAGGGCTAGCGTACCAAATGCCTTCTCCACTACCCTGTGACTCCACTTTCAATGAACTTTGAACCTGCACCTCAAGGTCTCTTTGTTCAACAAAACTTCCGAGGACCTTACAAGTCCTGCCCTGATTTGCCTTTCCAAAATGCAGCACCTCGCACTTATCTAATGTAAACTCCACCTGCCACTCCACTCCCCATTGGTCCATCTGATCAAGATCCTGTTGTACTATGACATACCCTTCTTCACTGCCCACTACACCCCCAATTTTGCTGGCATCTGCAAACTTACTAACCATGCCTCCTATATTCCCTACATTCCAAATAAATTATGTAAATGGCAAAAAGCTGTGGACCTGGCATTGGTTTTTATTGAAACACCACTGGTCACAGGCCCCCAGTTTGAA